TAATTAATTAAATAATAGACTAATTAGTAAATAAATAAATAAATAACTGAATAAAGCATTAAAGGACAACTGCAGCAGCAGCAGCAGCAGCAATAGCAGCAGCAGTAGCAGCAGTAGCAGCAGCAGCAATAGCAGCAGCAGCAGCAGCAATAACATTTGGGTTGGAGTGTGCGTGTACTTGCTGCTACTATTAAGTGTAATAAAAGAAGAAGCAGCAGCAGCAGAAGTTGCTTCTGTTGCTGCTGCTGCTGTTGCTGCTGCTGCTGTTGCTGCTGCTGCTGTTGCTGCTGCTGCTGCCTGCATGTCTGCCAATAATTAAAAATTAAGCGGAGTTTGCATTTCGGTACTGCTACTGCAGCAGCAGCAGCAGCAGATGCTGCTGCTGCTGTTGCTGCTCTCCCTGGCACTCCTGCTGCTGCTGCTGCAGCAGCAGCAGCAGCAGCAGCAAGACAGTGAGGTATGGGTATAGTAAACCTTATGCAGGGAGCAGCAGCAGCACAAGAAGGAAAATAAAAAGGAGAGGAAGAAGAGAAAAAATAAATAAAAAGAAAGTGCTGCTGCCTATGCATATATTATCTCTTGCTAGGCTATACAGCAGCAGCAGCAAACTATTTGGACGACGAGGCAGCAGATGCTGCAGCAGCTGCTGCAGCAGCAAAGGATTCTCTCCATCATGCTGCTGCTGCTGCTGCAGTTGTATTAAACGGCTTGATGCTGCAATACCTGCTGCCTGTACACTCCAAGCAGCAGGAGAAGCAGCAGCAGCAGCAGCAGCAGCAGCAGCAGCAGCAGCAGGAGAACCAGGGGCAGCAGCAAAAGCAGGGAACGCAGCATCTCCAGAAGCAGCAGCTGCTGCTGCATCGTACGGCATCTGGTGTTGCTGCTGCTGCTGCTGCTGCTGCAGCACGCCAGAGCCTAGCCACTGCAGCAGCAACTCAGGTGACGGCGTGATGCCACCAAGTGCAGCAGCAGCAGCAGCAGCAGCATCTGCTGCTGCACTAAAGAAATTATTCCTTATCCCCTGCATATTAATGCATACAAACAAACAGGCAAACAAGCAGCTACTGCAGCATCAGCAGCAGCAATTAAAAGAGCAGCAGCAGCAGCAGCAGCAGCAGCAGCAGCAGCAGCAGCAGCAGGTGAGAGGTCCAAGCATTATACCTGTGTTGCTTCAAAGTCGCACAGCAGCAGCAGCAGCAGCAAAGACACAGACACAAGGGCCCCTTTCCTCAGCAGCAGCCTCTTGTGTCTCCGCTGCAGCTGCTGCAGTTGCTGCTGCAGCTTCTCTGTTGCTGCTGTTGTTGCTGCGGTTGCTGCTGCTGCTGTTTCTGTGCTGTCTGCTGCTGCTTTTGCGTCTTCTCCCTCCAATCTCTTTCCTTGCTGCACCGATCCATCTTTTTGCTGCTGCTGTTGCTGCTGCTGCTGCAGCTGCTGCTGCAGCTGCTGCCTATGCTTCTTAGTAGGGTCATGTAATAGGGGGATAAGAAGAGAGAAAGGAGGAAGCAGCAAGACACCAATTAACCAAGACAAGGATACATTAGCTAACTGCAGCAAAAAAAAAAGAAAGAAAAAAAAATAATATATTATATATGTATATATACACCAGCAGGAGGAAGAGGAGGAGGAGGAGTAGGAGCAGCAGCAGCAGCAGCGGTAGCAGCAGCAGGAAGAGGTATGATTTACTAGTAAGGATAATAGGAGAGAAAGAAGCAAGAACCTTGCTGCTGCTCGCATGCATAGCCATAAGGAAGGAGGAGCAGCAGGAGGTAACCAATTATCTAATATTTCTTCTGCTGCTTCCTTTAGTGCTTCCTCTTCTTCCTCCTTCTGCTGCTGCTGCTGCTGCTGTTGCTGCTGCTGCTGTTGTTGCTGTTGCTGCTGCTCCTGCTGCTGCGCTGCATCTGATGGCAGCGGGGCTGCTGCAGCACTGGTGGATGACGCAGCAGCAGCAACAGCAGGTTTTGTAACACCATCACCAGCTGCTGCTGCTGATTTTGCTGCTGCTGCTGCTTTTGCTGCTGCTGCTGCTTCTGCTGCTGCTAGACGTTCGGGTGTACTGAGAGGAAGGAATAGAGCAGCAGGATCCTGCTGCTGTGAATCGTGCTCGTTTGCTGCAGCAGCGCAGCAGCAGCAACAGAGAACAATAACAGTTCCCAATACTTGCTAACAAGGCAGCTGCAGCAGCAGCAGCAGCAGCAGCAGCAGCAGGACAGCAGCAGCAGCTATAGACAGCAGCAACAGGGGAAGAAGCAGCAGCAATTTTGTTTACCTGCTAACTGCATGCGTCGTATACGGCGTGCCATATAAATAAGCAGCAGCAGCAGCAGCAAATATCCAGGTACTGCAGCAAGTAGCCACAAGGCTGCTTTCTGTACACAGACACAGCAGCAGCAGCAGCAACAGCAGCAACAGCAACAGGACACATCAGCAGCAGCAACATGCCATATAGGTAAGGAATCAGTAACATCAGCAGCATAGCAGCAGCAGGAGCCTCTAAACAATTGCCATCTACAGCACCAGCAGCAGCAGCAGCAGCAGCAGCAGCAATAGCAGCAGCAGCAACAGCAGCAGCAGCAGCAGCAAGAGTATTATACCTGCGTATACACCAGAAAATCTTTACTTGCCCAATTAGTACAAGAAGGAATCGTTGAATAACCAAATGTACTCAGAGAAAAATCCAACTAAATAAACAGCAGCAGCAGCAGCAGCAGCAGCAGCAGCAGCAGCAGCAAGATGAGTAGGGGCGGAGGCGTGAGCAACAGCAGCAGTAGAAGCAACAGCAGCAGAAGCAAGAGCAGGAAGGCAAAAGGGTGGTGCAGCAGCATGAGCAGCAGCATGAGCAGCAGCAGCAGCAATTGGACTAAGGGTAACATGATGAACAGCAGCAGCAGAAGCAGCAGGACGATTAGAGAGAAGGAGAAAGAGCAGCAGCAACAGAGAGCAGCTGCAGCAGCAGCAGCAGCAGCAGCAGGAGACTGACGGAGGTAGCTGCTAGATAAGAAGGAGCAGCAGCAGCAAAAGATAAAAAGACAACACAGATACCAATAGCCAATGTCCTCATGTCCCCTACTAGACGAGACGTTAATAGCTGCAGCAGCAGCAGCAGCAGCAACAACAACAACAACAGCAGCAGCAGCAGACAAAGCATAAGCAGGAGCAGCATAAGTATAGGTAGTAGGACAACACTCTATCAGCAGCAGCAGGTGCTGCTGCTGTAGCAGCAACAACAACAACAACAACAGCAGCAGCAGCAGCAGCAGCAGCAGCAGCAGCAGCAGCAGCAGCACATCTAGGAGGCCCCCAAATGTGCGGCAACTACCACAAAAACCGCATCAGCAGCAGCAGCAGCACCCCCCGCCCCCCCCCAGCAGCAGCAACAGCAGCAGGAGCAGGAGGAGTAGGAGTAGGAGTAGGATAAATAATATAATTTACCGGTATAGCAATAATAAGAATAAGAAGAGGAGTAATAAATATAAATGTACCTCCTGATGAATGTTTATTTTTATTTATATAAAAAAAAGAAGAAAAAGAACGAAAAAGATTCACATCTACGTTACTACAGCAACGTATTATTCTCTCTATACTCCTGCATGCATGCATGCATGCACACAATTATATATACATATACATATAATTCATGCTGCTGCTGCTGCTCCTGCTGATGCTGCTGATGCTGATGATGCTGATGATGGTTGTGGTTGTGGTGGTGGTGATGTTGCTGCTGCTGCTGCTCCTGGTGATGATGATGGTCAGGATTGCGGTGGTGGTGGAACAGCAGCAGCAGCAGCAGCAGCAGCAGCAGCAGCAGCAGCAGCAAATCAATATCTTACGCTATAACGGATTGCCATCTAAAGGAAGAAGAAACACCAAAAAAATTTGCATGCACTGCAGCAGAAGCAATATCTATTCCTTCCCTGCAGCAGCAGCAGCAGCAGCAGCAGCAGCAGTAACAGCAGTAGTAACAGCAACAACAGCAGGAAACATTAAACTCTAAGCAGGAAAAAATCCATTATAAACCCTAAACCCTAAACCCTAAAACCCTAAACCCTAAACCCTAAACCCTAAACCCTAAACCCTAAACCCTAAACCCTAAACCCTAACCTGATGAGGGGTTCAACATGAGTGTGTGCTCCTGCACCAACCACCGGACGCCATGCGCTCTCCCAGAACTGCAGCAAAAAATAGTATAGTATATGCATGCATGCAGCAGCAGCAGCAGCAAATGCAGCAGCAGCAAATGCAGCAGCAGCAAATGCAGCAAAGACCTTTTGTGGGGATGCTGCTGCTGCAGCAACTAGCAAGAAGCTGCAGCAAACCTAACCCTCATTAGCAGCAAGTCTTAGCATCGACAGCAGCAGCAGCACCAGCACCAGCACCAGCAACAGCAGCAGCAGCAACAGCAGCAGCAGCAGCAGCAGCAAGACGTACACTGCGTAGAGTAACAGGTAAGGATTCATTTCTTGCCTCCGTCAACATCACATTGGCTATGTCTTCGTTAGCTAAACGGCCATCTGCTCCCTCTGCAGCAGCAGCAGCAGCAGCAGCAGCAGCAGCAGCAGCAACAGCAGCAGGGATAAGAGCAGCAGCAGCAACAACAAAAACAGCAGCAGCAAGAACAAGAATAACAGCAGCAGCAGCAGCGGAAGTATTGCATCAACGCATGCATCGATCAACACAGTTGGGTACTCCTGCAGATAATGCTGCAGCAGCAGCAGCAGCAACAACAGCAGCAGCAGCAGCAACAGCAGCAGCAGCAGCAGCAGCAGGAAGATTGCTTACCAAAGTCTACATGCACGAAGCTTAGAGATCCATAGTCAGGAGCCGTCAACTCCTCATGCATGCGTACACCTGGTTGCTGCTGCAGCTGCTGCAGCAGAAGCAGCTGCTGCAGTTGCTGCTGCTGCAGCTGCCACGGCAGTACTTGGGGGTCTGTCCATCGAGCTGCTGCTGCGCTTGCTGCTGCTGCTGCAGCTGCAGCAGCAGAAATATCTGCTGGTCTA